GGGGATTAGTCTCTGAGTCACCTGCATCTAGAGCAGAGAAATGTGTGATTGTACAAGGTTTAGGATTGATTGTTGGGGTTTGAATCCTGGCCTTTCCACTTACTAGCTATGTGACCTTGGACTTACCTCTGAACCTTTCTCCTATGTAAAGCAAGTATAGTGAATAACAATAAACACTGTCTCATGGGGTTATTGTGGAAATAAAATCTATCTATCTCTCTATATAGAAAATAGAGAAATATGCTAATTAACCAGGACGCCGTAATGGGTCGACCAGACAGGAGGAGGTTGTGTGTGCAGCATCAGGGGCCGGCAGCAGGGGCTCCATACACCTGTGCTGGGGGAGGGCCTGATCAGCAGTGGCCCAGCTGCTTCAAGGGCCAGAGAGGGAGGCAGGGCTGGACTGGTGACTTGAGGGTGGGTGGTGCTGCGTGATTTCGAATCACAAGCTGGGCCCCTAATAGAATAATACATGTAGAATGCTTAGTACCATACCTGACACAGAGGAAGTGGTTAATAAAAATTGTTAATAACTATTATACATAAAATAGTCCTGAAACCTGTTTCAGTTATCACTGTGCAAGAAACCACTCGAAAACTTAGTAATTTAAAGCAAAAATTTATTATTATTTCCCAGATTCTGAAGATTAACTGGGCTCAACTGGGCAGTTCTTGCCTGGAGTTCCTCAGACCCTGCAGCCAGGTAGCAGCTGAGCCTGGAGTCATCTGAAGACACCACTGGGTGGGAACATTCCAGATGGTTTCTTTACTCACATATTTTGTGCTCCAGCTGGAATGGTTTGAACAGCTGAGGGCTGAATGAACAACTCTCTTTCTCCAGGTAAACTCTTCATGTGGCCGGCTTGGGCTTCCTTGCAGCATGGCAATCTCAGAGAAGTCAGACTTCTTACATGGCAACTGGCTTCCTTCAGAGCAAACATTCTAAGGGATCAAAAAGCTGTAAGCTTTCTCATGACCTAGCTTTGGAAGTCACTTCTGCCACATTCATTTGGTTGTATAGGGCCAACCTGAATTCAGTGTGGGAGGCACCCACACAGGGGTGTCCACTCTGAGAGTAGTTCATTGGGGCCAGCTTGAAGCTTAGCTACCACAACAGCCATCTGCGTCTTTTAATTCAATATTGAAAAGAGCTCTTGATTTTGAATTGGAGACTTAGGTTCAAGGTGGTTGTAGGTAAATTACTACCACCCTCAAAGTCCCCATTTGCTTATCTGAAAGATGGAGATAATGATTCACACCTCACAGATTGTGGTGGAGAGCAAATGTCAGCCTACATGGAAAGCTCCTAGCACAGTGCCTGGCACACTGGTGTGTACCAAAGTTCCTGCTCCATTTAGAGCAGGGAGAGATCCTCCCCACCAATACCTCGTCCTCCTTCTTGGAGGGGCCACCTGAAACTAGACTGCCATCACTCTGTTGTTTCTGAGCTGTGTGTGTGTGTGCCAGGAAGTTTAGTTTAGCATGTCACCTGCTAATTTTGATGTTGGCAATTGCATAAATAATATATAATTTGGAAGAAGAGTTGTCAACTCATGCTGCTATGCTAGAGTCCTTCTGAATGGAATTTCTGCTAACTCTAGAGTGAGTTATTTTAAAATAATTTTATAAGCCAACTGATCAAAGAAATCCCAGAGATACTTCATTTTCTCTTGACCTCTATTTTTTGAAACCTTCCAGGAAGCAGCACACATACTCATTTGGGACTTAATATGAATTACCAAGTAGCTGGAGAGAACTCAAGGTGACAAATTACTGACACTGGTTCTTAATGCTGCACTCGGGGCACCAGAGAAAGCCACTTAGCTTCTCAGTGATTGGCTTTGTCCCTCCTGTGTAGCTCGGGTTCTGCTTGGGGTGGAGAGGGGTCAGAGAACTCAACACCTTGGGTCGGTGGGGAGACTGAAGTGCCACTCACACCTGGACCCTCCTTGTCCAAGCTCCCCCATGAACTCCAAGGACACTCTTCACCCAGCCCAGAAAGCAACAAAGAGGCACTGCTCCTGAGAACCCAGGGGCATTTGCCTCTTTGGGCAAGGAGGGACAGTGTCATATCTACAAACATACAAGATGCTGGTCAAGAAGGGGCTAACTAAAAATGTGGAACACAAACCCTCTTTGGGGAAGTGTCTGTGACCCTCCATCATCCTCCTTTGGGGAATGTGGCTTCATGAAACAAGCACAGACCTGGAAGTCCAACTGGCCATGCGCTCCCCCGGCAGATACTCCCTTTCATGGGTTCAGCTTTCAGAACATGGTGGTAGAATCCCACATCTCACAGTTAATCTTATATTCTGAGCTTCAGACCCACACATCCCACTGCTTACCAAGCATTCTCCCCTGGACATCCCACAAATACCTCCTGACCTGTACAAATCTCATTGGTCATTCTTCTAAAACTCCCACCTCCTACCCATTCCTAATCCTGGTTAATCTCCATCGACCCAGCAACCAAGACAGGACCCTAAACTCCATTCTTCCTCAACTCATATAGCTAAGTCCTAAGTTCTCTCTCAGAATTGTGTTTGGATACAATGTTTTGTCCTCATCCTTCCCGCTTATCCTGCAACTGCCCAGTCTAGGTCTTCATCACATGTAGCCTGGACTCTGAGAGTGACTTATCACGAAGTCTCCCTCACAACCTCTCCTCTGCCTCAGCCAATCTCCAGGATCCTCTTCAACTGATTACTTGAGTTTTCTGGTATCTACAGAACATTACTTCCCTACTCGTGTCCTTTGTGCCTTCATCTATAAAATGAAGGAATTGGATAAAATAAACTCTTCTAGAAGCCCCTGGATGTTGTGATTCTTCTGAGAAACCTTCTACAAAGGAGATAAAAATGCTGGGATCCTAATTTGACTACAAGCCTGAGGCAGCCTCATTACATCTGAAGGGAGGAAATCACTAACTTTTCTTCAGTGCAAATTAGTGTCATTGATCTGTTCAGTCCAGTCTGGCTAAGCAGAAGGCAATATGTTTGGGAGTGGAGAGTGGGGGGTGGGGGTGGGGGGGGAGGGGGGTGTGGGAGAATGAGAATGTGCTGGAAATAAAAGGCTGGAAGGATTCTGTTTAGAAACAGCTGATCTTTTAGAGCAGGTCTGTGAGCAGCCAGAGGCCTCTGTATACATCAGTGATGGCGAACCTATGACATGCGTGTCAGAGGTGACACACAAACTCATTTTTTTGGTTGATTTTTCTTTGTTAAATGGCATTTAAATATATAAAATAAATATCAAAATATAAGTCTTTGTTTTACTATGGTTGCAAATATCAAAAAATTTCTATATGTGATATGGCACCAGAGTTAAGTTAGGGTTTTTCAAAATACTGACACGCTGAGCTCAAAAGGTTCGCCATCACTGGCATACATCAAAGAGTTCCTCTCCTCAGCATTTGGGTGATAGGAGAGTGGAGTCAGGTACATTCTGAGAACATGGAGCTTGTTGGGAGCCCCAGGCTGTGGGTTGGCTTTGCCTTTTGACCTGGGGCAAGTTACTCCCTCTCTGGGCCTGCTATTTTATCTCTAGTCAGAGTCATTGATCTGTAGGCTGGTACTAAGTCATCTCAAGAAAAGTAAGTGAGCTTATAGGGCCCTAGGGTCTGTTCTAGACCCATGGAAACTAAAGGATGTCTCTGTTTTCCTCCAAAACCTTAGTTTGAATTCAGAACATAGAAAAAAAGAGGAAGCATGGGGCTATGATGGCTAATTTTATGTGTTTGTCAGCTTGGCTGGGCCATGGTGCCCAGATATTTGGTCAAATGTTACTCTGGTTGTTTCTATGAGAATATTTTTAGGTGAGATTAACATTTTAATAGATGGCCTTTGAGTAAAGCAGATTGCCCTCCGTAATGTAATTGGGCCTCATCTAATCAGTTGAAGGATCAAATAGACCAAAGACTGATCCTTCCTGTGCAAGAAAAAAATTCTACCAGCAGACTGCCTTTGGACTTAACCTGCAATTCTTTCCTGGGTCTCAAGCCTACCCTGCAGGTTTTGTATTTATCAAGCCTCCATGATTACATAAGTCAGTTTCTTAAAATCTATCTATCTATCTATCTATCTATCTATCTATCTATCTATCATCTCTTCTGTTGATTTTGTTTCTCTGGAGAACCTTGATTAGTATAGAACCTATCTATTCCTACTGCCTACAGAAGGAGGATAGGCCTTAGACCAGAGGTTAAAAGCATCGTAAGCTCTGCCAAGGTTACTAAAAGAGTCTGAATCCAGCCATATCTCCCAAATGACTTCCAGGCTGCCCCCTACAAGAACTATGAGATGGCACAAAACTCTCTCTGGAAACCAGAGCCCTCCTGTACTAAAGGGGCCTCATTCCTACAGGTAAGTGCCACAGGTAAGAGTCAGAGGAGGCCTATTTGGTAATAATTAACATTGATTAGGTCAGATATTGGTCTGTGGTCTTTCCTCACATTATATGATTTAATTAAAACCTTAGGAATTAGGTATTATTAACATCCATATTTCACAGATGAGGAGCCTAAGGCACTGTGAGGTCAGGTTACTCCTTTACCTGTAGCTGACAGGAGCTCTACCTGCTAGCTCACTTGCTAGTGACAACCATGTGAGCTAGAGGGCATTACCCATATTGTTCATATGAGGAGATAAGACCCAGAGAGTTTCATGTGGTCACATAGCTAGTATCGGCAGAGTCAAGATTTCATTCCAAGTCCTCTGACCACATACCAAGCTCTTTCCACCAGCCACGCCATTCCCACCCACAACTGTTGCATAGAGACAATAGTTGCTACAGGGACTCTAAGCTATCCCTGCTGTTTACAAGCCTACTGACCTCCAGGTCACATTTCATTATAATGATTATCATGAATCACCATCATCTTGATGGTAATTATACCTCTGTTTGCATAATACTGTGCAGGTCATCAAGAACTTCAACATCTTGCCTCACTTGATCCTCCTGGTAAATATAATAGGGGCACTCTATAATATCTTCCATTCCACAGGGCTGGTTGAGGCCAAGGGTGAAGGATGGAAGCTATCATTTATCAAGTACCTGCTGCACTTCAGGGCAGTGCTTGGGGCTATACCATCCCTCCTTTGGTTTATTTCTCAACACAGTCCTGGGAGATGACTGTCTCCATTTGACAGGTGAGAAAACTGAGCACAAACAACACCCATTGCCAGGTAAGATCACTGAAAGAATGTATTTTTCCATGGGGTTGTTAAATTCTTTGTACTGTCTCACTCCCTATCTCTCCTGGAACCCTGGCCTCCCATTGACTTTACCCTACTTTCCCTTTAAGGAAGAGCCCCTAAGTCTTCCCTTCCAAATTTTAATTCCTAATTTTGGTTATCTCAAGTCATTGTTGAGAAGAAAACATTGAGAATGAATTAACCCTCACAGTTCCATCTCTGCCTTATGAACACCCCAGGGTGTCCCCCTCCCTTGAACTTCTTTTCCAGCACTTGCTGCTTCCCCACCACTGAGTCACACCTCATACCTACATCTGCATGGATTTGTCCATAACTCCCTCCTGGGGTTACACTGAGCTCTATTTACTCCTCCTCCCTAAAATCTGACCCTCCTTGAGGCAGGTGTGGGGTGTAAGCTCAGCCATTAAGAATGTGGCCAAGAACGTCGGTAGTTCATACTCTTGAAACTTCTCTCCCTAGTGGGCTTCGGATAACAAAAATGCATTTCTATGTTGTTCTCCAGCAATGTGTATTGTCTGCTATAGGTCCAACTCTAGTTCATTCAAACTTTAGACACACTGAAGGAGGCAATTTCATGTTTGTGGAAGACTAAAGTACTGGGTCAATATTATTTTCCTGGGTGCTAGTCTCTGGACCTGAATATCGGCCATGACGCTGTGGAATTGTCAGCCCCTTGGTCCCCAACTCTTCTGTAGATCTGAGTCTTGGGCTATGGCCAGGAGTCTGTGTTTTATTTCCTGACAAACACATAGGTGAGGTCACGGGCGGCAGAGCTCCATGACTCTTAAGCAACACAAAAGATTCTGCAATTTTCCTCGAGGGAAAAGAGAAACTGTAAGAACACTCACAGTTCCTTCTTAGAATAGCCTTTAGTTATCCCAGTGAATTGGGGGTCATTGGGGTCAATATCATCAAAAGGCATGCATTGAGTGTGCTTGGCAAATACTGTCCCAGAATACTCTCTCCAGGGCAATTGATGAAAGAAACACCTGCATATTAGGTTTTGCATATTTTTGTCTTGTTCTATGTTTTACAAGTATGTTTTGTGTTTATAATTAGAAACAGAAAAAATGTCCTCCAAATGCTTTTCCTTTAGGCATTGAATCAGAAAACTGCAGGAAATCATCCAGTCCAGCCCCTTCCTCGAAAGAAGCTGAAACTAGATGAGCAAAAGGGAGAGACTTGTCCAAGGTCACTCAACTCAAGGTCACACACCAGACAGGAGGCCCTTGGAATACATCCCCCGACATATCCATTTATAAAACCAATTATTCCACAGCGAATCCAATGGGTTCATGGGCTGCTACAGAACATGTAGCCCGAAATTTCCCCAAGAAAAAAGAAAGGGCAGTTAGGGGCATGCTAAAAGAAAACGAGAGTGACCATTCTGAAGGTGGGCTTGTTAAAGCTCAAAATTGAGTGAGAAAATGATGAGAGAATATGAACAGGGCAAAGGAGGCCGCTGAGACTAAAGAGCACTGTCACCCTGACAACCGATATTTCTTTGTTCCTTTATCTGTATACTGGGAGACAGACAAAGTGATTGAGTGAAATAAAGGTAGGGAGGTGGGAAATGGGTGACTGGTGGAGCAGGTCAGGCAATTTAATGGCTTCTTCCTTCTCAGTCTCCAGGGAGAAAAACCCAAGTTGCAAGAAGAGGAGGGAGTGTGGAAAGAGATAGCCCCTGGAGCCCTTTGAAAATCCTGAGCGGAGGGGCTTCCTCCAAGTCCATGGGTGAGGGGACTTAGGAGGTCAGAGGGCTGGAAGGGGATGCCTCCCCCATAAGCTAGAATAAGACAGGGAGATGAGGATCCTTCTTTTTCTACTGTTGGCTGGTGCTGAATGCTGGCTCCCTAAGACACCACACCACTAAAGCAACCTGCTGATAAGGAAAAATTAAGGTTTTTCTTACCGCAGTATGGGAAAGTGCTATTTCAATTGAGCCTTAGAAGTGTCCAGGAGGGAGTCTGACAAAGTCAAGATACTTACTGGGTTTTGAAGTCTGGTTTAAAATGAGTCTTTCAACAAGAGGGGTGGGGGGAGGCAGTGCTTGATTAGGACTGGGTAAGGCTCATGACAATGCTTTAGGATTGGTGGGCACAGCAAGGTAAGAATTTTGAGACAAAGGGTTAAAGAATATTGGTGTGTATACTGTCATTTGGTGTTTTCTATTAAAGAGTTGATATACCAGGAAGCATTTGGAATAAACAATAAAATCATTTGCAACTTTTATCTTGTTTGGAAAGAATTTTCTAGAATGGTAAAGTTATGTTGATGAAGAAAGAATAAATAATGTAGACTGTAAGCTGTGTGGGTCTAGATAGTTTCCATTCTCATTGCGAAGACCACCCTGGAGTGTTATGCTCAGTTCTGGGCAACCAACTTTAAGAAATGTTAACATAGCCCTGGCTGGTGTGGCTCTGTTGGTTGGGCATTGTCTCATGCACTGAAAGGTTGCAGGTTTGATTCCTGTTCAGGGCACATGCTCAGGTTGTGGGTTTGATCCCTAATATGAGGTGTGCAGGAGGCAGCCGATCGATGTTTCTCTCTCACATTGATGTTTCTCTATTTCCCTCCCCCTTCCTCTCTCTAAAACTCAATAAAAATATTTAAAAATATATTAACATATTGGGGCATGTCCCAAGGTTAATTACCATGACAATGAAGCCAAGTCCTGTGGGAACCAGAAGAAGTTGGACATTTAGCTGGGAGAAATGGAAAGTCTGGGACCAGCCCCATGGCAAAGGTCTACCGTGGGGTTGAGGCAGTTGTACTGGTTTCTAGGGGCCTGCAAGGTAGAATTTGAACCAATGGATAAGAGACACAGATGAACAAGCCTCAGTTTAGCTTAAGAAAGAACATTCAAAAAAAAAAAAAAAGAGGAAAACAAATAGAAAGATGAGATTGGGAAGCAAAGCATGAGTTGAGTTAATGCATAGGACACATCCTCAGGGATTCTGCTCTGAACCAGGTCCTTCACAAACCCAAGACAAGCTGACATCTCAGAGGCTGACATGGGACGGAAATGTGCTTGATGGGCTGGTCTTTTTTCTCTGTCTAAGACTCCCCAAATAATCAAGATACCACAGTTGTCCTGAACTACTCCAAGCCGGCAGATGAAAGCCAGCTTCTACCCTAGTGTTCAGGCCCTGAAATCCAGGGCATGGAAAGAGGTGGCTGGGCCTTTGAGTTTCTCTGTGTGAGACAGAGCCCTTCTCCCAGTGAGACCCACATAGGGGGGATTCTTGCAAAAGAGGAAAGGAGTGCCTAGATTCTAGACCAGGGGTGGGCAAACTTTTTGACTCGAGGGCCACAATGGGTTCTTAAACTGGACCGGAGGGCCGGAACAAAAGCATGGATGGAGTGTTTGTGTGAACTAATATAAATTCAAAGTAAACATCATTACATAAAAGAGTACGGTCTTTTTTTTTTAGTTTTATTCATTTCAAACGGGCCGGATTCGGCCCTCGGGCCGTAGTTTGCCCATGGCTGTTCTAGACACACAAAAGATAAAATGCCAATGTCTTCCATGTGGTTTCAGAGACTCCGATTTTCTCCCCACCCAGCCACTGCCCTTCACCTTCTGCCCACCCGCTCCCAGGCCCAGCTCCCCATGTTCTAATGCTGAGAAATGCAGGACACACTGGTAACCTGTGTTTGCCAAGCAGCAAGCAGGGGAGGAGGAAGGCAGAACGCCCAGCCTCTTGTAATTACATAATTTTGCATTTGAACACACTGCACAGGGCAAACGTGGAAGTTGGAAGCCCAGAGCTGCAGGCAGACCAGATGGACTGGTCGTGTTGCCGATGATATGCTGACCGTGGGCACTGGTTGAAGACCACCCATCCCTCACTCAGCCGCTGAAGCCTCGCATGTTCCAGACCCTGAATTAAGTGCAGTCCAGGTAACAAAGGGGCTGAGTCTGTGATCTGCCCTCAGGGAAGGCGAAGGCAGCTTGCTGGAGGTAAGGCACACACACAAACCCTCATGAAAAAAGGCAGGCTGCATGGGCTCCAACATGGACTTAACATTAAATTTAATCGTTATTGATTTCTTACCATGAGTCCAGCTCTATGTTAAGTTTCTTACATGTGTGATTTCATTTAAACTTTACCCACAACTCTAGGCATCTGGGGATGTTATTTTTTTATTTTTTAAAAAATATATTTTATTGGTTTTTTACAGAGAGGAGGGGAGAGGCATAGAGAGTTAGAAACATTGATGAGAGAGAAACATCGATCAGCTGCCTCCTGCACACCCCCTACTGGGGATGTGCCTGCCATCAAGGTATATGCCCTTGACCAGAATCAAACCTGGGACCCTTCAGTCTGCAGGCCAACGCTCTATCCACTGAGCCAAACTGGTCAGGGCTGGGGATGCTATTTACAGGCGAGTAAACTGAGGCCCAGCATGAAGTAGCAGACACAGGACTTGGACTGAGAGCCTCTGATTCCAGAACTTTCAGCCTTAACCATTATGCTATACCACTGCTAACACCGGGCATATACTAAATAATTAAAATCTATTTGTTAAATGGCTGAATGAATGACTGAAATGCCAAATAATATTTTAAGCAAAGCCCTGTGGGAGCTCAGAAAAGATAGAGAATTCTGACTGAGACAGATAAAGGCAGCTTTCATGAAATCTTGTTTAGGCTCATGCTCATAGAGTAGATAGGGAGATTGAGAGCAGGGCATGATTGGCAGACAGATGCTAAAGTGGCCCCATGATCCCCTCCTCCTGGTGTTCATGCCCTTGTGTCATCTCCTCCCCTTGAGTGTGGGCGGGACTTGTGACTTACTTCTAACCAATGAAATATGCAGATAACTGATGTCTATGCATGATTACCTGACATAAGATTCTAATGCCCGTCTTAATAGAAGACTCTCTCCCTTGCTGGTTTTAAAAAAACAGCAGTCAGGTTGGGGAAGACATGTGGCGGGGAACCAAGGGCAGGCTCTGGCAACAACCGGCTAGGAATGAGGGCAGCCTTTGGCTGACAGTCAACAAGAAGCAGGTCCTTGGTCTGACCACGTGCAAGGGCCCGAATCCTGCCAACAACCGTGTAAGCTGGGAAGCAGATGATCCCTCTCCGGTTGAACCTTGAGGTGAGACCACAGACATGATGACATAATAAATGTATATTGTGTTAAGCCTCTAAGTGTGTGGTAATATTGTTATGTTAATAGATAACTAGCATAGTGTCATTGGCAGAGAAAACAGCAGAAGCAAAGGCCTGGAGGTGGAAAGGCCTGTGAACACTGGGACATTCTGCTTGTCCTGTGTGGCTGGAGCACATCCATGAGGTGAGTCCCAGGATGTGGAGGCTGGAAAGGTGGGTTGGAAAAATGGCCTTCAAAGACAGAATGCCTTGTCTGGGCTCTGCTCTGTAGGGAAGGCGTTTCCAGTGTTGGTGGGTATAAGGAGAATCTCTATGGAGAGTGAGTGGGTCCCTTTGAGCAACCCTCAAAGGTGAATGTGTCCAGGTGAGTCTTGCCCATGTCTCTGAGGCTTCCAAATGGAGCCCTGTCTAAGATCCTGAGACCAGTGACCCTAATTATCACTCTTTGGGGGACCCCAGTCAGCTTGTGACCAAGTGGAGGTCCGGAGCTAGGGCCCTGGGACAAGGACACATCTGAGTTGAGTAGGTTTCCTCATCCAGGACCACGCCCCCAGTTAGGGTCTAAAGGGGACTCCTGGGGCCATCAGCTTTAGCTAACAATGCCACCAGCTCATTCATAACCAGTGGAGAAACTGCCATGGCATTTTGAAAATAAGCATTGTGACTGAGTGATGGGGTTTTAAATTCAACAGTTCGTAGATGCATTAAAGCAAAACCAAACAAAAATGGTCTCATCATTTGAAAAGGTCACTCAGTAAAGACCCCTTCAACCCGACTCCCTCCTCTTTTCACAAATGAGTTGAATGATTCAAAGCCCTCATCTTAGTGAGGGGCCAGGGAGGCAGAAGGTCAAGGAAACCTGGATGGCAATGTGACATCGTGTGAGGTTTCAGCTTCCTTGAGCAGGAAGTTGCTTTGTGGTGAAAATCTTTCTTCATTTTTTTTCCCCCAGAGAAAATAGAGCTGCTGTTTCTCTCACATTTGGCTAAGTGGATATGGGGAGAGTGATCAGAGGTTTGGCTCATGGTGCCTGACGATCCTGCAATGCTGCAGTGAGGAAGCGAGAGGAGATCAGGTCAGGATGGAGAGGAAAGATATGGAAGGCAGCTCAGTCCCCCTGGAAGTGACACACTCTGGGGGGAATTGAAATGTGAGGACCTCTAGGACCAGAAATGAGAAGGGAGTCTGACTAATGCTGAGATGGAATAAAACATGAAAGGGAAAACCAAAGCCACATCCCAACCATTCCAGTCACTGTCCCTGGTTACAGAGAGAAAAGCAACTTGAAAGGGCATCCCAGGGAGAAGACTTTAATTCATTCAAATAACCTCCTTGGCACCAGATGCTGAGCTGGACACAGGCCACGTTGTCATGGGGGTATGATGAGCTCCAGGACCAATGGGGAGCCAGCGGGGAACCGGTGCCAGGCTCTTACAGGGGTCTAACATGGGTCTGTGCAGCTGGCTCTGAGCTCAGAGGGGTGGGGGGGAGAGGGAGGCAGCCAGGGCGGGAGTGTGGAGTGGGGGCAGGCGATTGCCGAGTGGACAGGGTGGGAGGCAGAGGCGGGTGAGCTATGGTGCGCTGTGGGGGGTGCACTGTGCAGCTGAGGCTGGAAGTGTGGTTGGGGCCAGACTGAATCCCAAATCATTTTTTTGAACAAATCAGCCCAGGAAGCTCTCTGGATCCTGCCTGAAGCTGCCAACTGCTCCGAGGGAAGTGATTTGGAATAGGGGCGCAGATGTCCAAGAAACATCCCCTGACTTCCCTAGGCGCTCCTTCCTTTCTGGGACTCCCTCCAGCAAGTCCTGGCAGCGCTGCTTTCTCTCCAGGCCTCTCATTGGAGATTTCCTGCTGACCTGAAGCATCGGTGGCCTTTGGTGGGGGTGACTCCTGCCATCTTACCTATCATCCTTGTCGCTCAAGGACCTCCTATTGCCTAAGACAAAGTCTGAAACCTCATTCTGGTGTTCACCTCCCTCCCACACTGGCTCCCAGCTTCCTGTCCAGGGCCATTCATTTCCCTCCACCCCTTGCCTGGGTCCTTCACTCCGAAACCACAAAAATCACAGGAGAACTGGACATGCCTCCGGGTCTGGCTCACATCCCCTCCCCCTGCTCCGTGTTCACACACCTATATACTGCCCATCCTTCAGGCTTGGCCACCGCAGCCTTCTCCTTGGGCCCATTCCCACTTCCAACTAGAAAAGTTGTCCTCCCTCCTAAGTCCCACAGTGCTGCACCCAGCCACGCTGCTCTTGGACGTTTAGTACTTGCTTCCCTCCAGGATGGTGATTTGTATCTGTGTTTGCTTTTTTTTACAAGACTCCAGACACTGAAGTCTATCACATCCTTACTGCACCGTTTAATAAATAGACATATGACCTTGTAGTTGAGTTCATATGTGCTTCTCATCTAGAAGGGTGGGGCTTGGAAGGACATTCCCTCTCTCACTGGAGAGTGTTTGGTTTTAGGTACCCCAGGGGAGAATGAGCCCCAACACAGCCTAGCTTGAAAAACCTTATCACCATTTTTCTCCAAGCAGGTATTTAACTTCACCAAGTCTTAGTTCTTGCAAAACATGGGGATGATATAGTGTTTACCATAAAGAATCTTTGAACTTTACATGAAACAATGCATGCAAATTACTTAGCACAGCACCTAAATGTGCCATTAGTCTACTCAACAAATAAATATTGAGCAGCTGTTATGTGCCAGGCACTGGGGAGACAGCAGTGAACGATTCAGACCACGTTACTGCTCTAATGTGCCTCCATTCATGAAAGCTCGTGTAGGCAAATGAATAAGTAATGCAACATAAGGTGCTGACAAGTGCTTTGAAGAAAATGAGCTAGTTTAAGAGATAGATAATACTGAGGTAAGGAGGAGAGAGCTAGTTTAGCAAAGACAAGAATTAAGAGAAGAAGCTGCTCATGCAAGACCTGGGGGAAGCTCATTCTTGGCAGAGACCAGAAGAAATAAGTTTCAACTTATAACCCAGTGGCCAGGTACCTTTCTCTACCCCACACATGGTTGAGAAAGTTGAGGAGATGGGCCTTACCTTCACTCCAGCAGGCCTTTGCCTTCAGAGAGATGGTCCCCACTGTTCAGGAACCCGTGGCCATGGCGGTTGCTGGCCATCACAGACCAGGGAAGACTGCAGGCATCCCCTACCTGTTCCAAATCCTGCCTCACCTGCCTCAATGCCTCACCTTCTCTGGTCTTCAGAGAAGGCTTAATTGTTTCTTTACTTCAGGGTCATTGTTACCATGCATGTGCACACAGAGTCAAAGGAGAGTGAGAGTTCCTGGGGAGGGTTGTCCCATGTGGATACACCAGGCTTTTGAAAGTTGCCCACAAGGATCTCCCTTCTTCCCTAACTCTCTGCCTTCTCTCTCCCTTCCTGCAGCCCTGTCCTTTGCAAGGTTTCTCAGCCAGGTGCCATATTGCCCCTCCACCTTCACTCAGGAATGGTTGGAATGGGAAGGGGCCATTTTTGATGGTCACAATGACTGAGAGGTGCTACTGGCATTTCGTGGGCTGGGGCCAAGGAGGCTAATCATCCGATGATGCACAAGACAGTTCCATACAATAAAGGATTATCCTGCCCAAAAGGTAAATGCAGACACTAATCCCTCAATATCCCCTCAAATATCACCAAATCCCCTTTTCCCTAGCTAGGTTCTGTCACCCGTCTCTTTAGAAATAATTGAGCCCCAGTCTCCCAAAGTCCTCACTGTCTATCTTACAAACTTAACAGCCCCTGTCTCTAAGCAATTACTACTGCTCCATCTAGACAGGCAGGGCAGCTCCCCCAGACGGAGGGAACAGCTCTGGTCCTGTACCAGGGCCAGTGGAGAAAATGGTGGTAAGGGCTTACTAGCAGAGCGTCTTAGTTAGTTCTTTCCTGGAGTACCTACACTCAAACATTTCTCACCAGTGAGAGGATAAATACCCGTCTAAGCGCCACCCTTCTGGATGAGAATACATATTCCTCCTACTAACCCCAGTCCCATCACCCTCAGACTTACTAGTATGTTACAAAACTTCCTATTTGAACTCGACAGAAGTCCAAACGCCTCTCCATTAAAGACCAGGACAGTACCATGCGGTCCTCAATTTGCCTTGCCTTTTACATCATCCTCATCATCACTGTCAATTCTTACTATTATCAATGGTACAGGCCTTGCACAGCCCCTCAAATTGGTGGGAGTTATGTCCATGGAAGATCCTGGCAGCATGGGTGATAGTTAGGAAAATATGGGGCAGGGCCATGTTCCCACTAACAAAGGTCCTTGGCAAACCGACTTTCTGATGTGCTTAATGAGTGGCCTAATGCTTGATTAAAAGTGCTTGAGAGAGAAATTCTCTCGAGAGGAGGAACAGTGCCAGGGGGCACTGGAAGGGCTCACTTTTCATTCTTTGACTCCGGGAGTTGGCAGGAAAAAGGACAGTGACTATTCCCTGCAGAAAACAATGCTCCAAATGGCTCCAGAGCCAGCCTGGGAAGGCTGCTCCTTGGCAGTGTCCTTGGCCAGAACGACTTTCCAAACATCCAAGTCAAAAGCAGCTTTTGTGGGAGGTTCAGAGCAGAATCCCTTAAAGCAGGAGGTTTTCCCACTCTTCCCAAACTGGATGTCTGTTTACTGAAAAAGTCAGTAGATCATACCTGTCCAGAGAACAAGCTGTCCCAGAGAGAGTCCTTTCAGGAAACAGGTGGCCACTCAGATGGGGTAATGGGGCAGAGACAAAGGTGTGGGCAGTGATAAGGAAGGTTGAAGAACCCCAGGGTGGCAGCATCAAGAGCAGTTGGGCATGGAAGGGAGCGATTGCCAGAACCCTGGACGTAGGGGAGGGTCATTGGTCACAGCCAAATCATAGCTCCCACAGCCTGAGAACCGGGGATACAGGCTGAGAACCGGGGATACACGCCTCATCTCAACCTCCTCTTGTTGCTGGAAGGCAAGGAGCCTGGGAATTCACTGATCCAGCCTCCTGGCCCAGCACAGGAGGGAATTTTTACAAACCACTCTGAAAATTAGTACCTTAAGACAATAAATATAAATTTAGCTCTTGATTTTATAGATTAGCATTAAGCTGGACTCAGTTGGGTAGTTCTGTTCTGAAATGTACCTGGCTTGGCTGTCTCAGCAAGACTTACTCATGTATCTGATATCAATTGGGTTGTCCAGGACTATGTTTAAAATGGCCTTGTCTGAATCAGTTAGAAAGACACAGACCTCGCTTGACCTGGATCTCTTTCCTTCCAGGTTGCTAGCCTTGTGTACAAAGCAGAAAAAGGGCCCAAGAGCAGTAGGTGGGCAAACTCCAAAGTGCAAGTGCTTCTCAGCCTTCTGCTTACATTGCATTTGCTTCTGCACCTTTGGTCAAAACAAGTCACATGGCCATCCTGATTCAAGGGGAGGAAAAATATATTTCACCCCTAAGGGGACAGGAAGAATGTGTGGCTGTATTTTGTAACCTACTATAGTCTGTGCTCCAGCCACAATTCATATTCCTTCCACATGCAAAATATGCTCTTCCATATCCCAGGACCTCCAAAACTGGATCCTTCCAATCTGGGCTTGTTCCTGTAGCAGTTGGCTTTGGCTGCATAACAAATGATCCCAACACTTAGGAGCTTAAAACAATAACCATTTATTTAGCTCACAGTTCTATAAGCTGACAATTTGGGCTGGGTACAGCTGGGCAATTCTGATCTCTGCAAGTGCTCACCCATGCATCTTTGGTCAGTACTCCTCGCTCCTCCACATGACCTTGGGTCCTTTGGCATGCTCATCCACATGTTGGCAGGATTTCAAGAACAGCAAAAGAGAACAAACCCCAATGTGAAATCAAGCCTTTACTTATATGCCATTGCTAACAACCCATTGGTGAAGCAAGTTAATGGCTGGGCTCAGAATCAGAGCAGGAGAACAGTGAAAGGTAGATGGCAAGGGGACATGAATATAGGGATGGAATAATTGATGATTGTTTTAGTAATTTATCTTCCACAGTGAAGTAGAGAGTCCTAGTAGATCTTGAGAGATAAATGAAAGATGCAACTCACAAGTCTAAATTTCATAATGCAGCACTGAAGCCTCTTGAGAATGGGTCCCACATATCTCTCCAATATCAACTCAATTTATCCTGCAACTACACACCTGCCGACCTGGGCTCTTCCCAGTTTCAGGGACCTTCCCTGGCTTTTCCTGCTCACTCTTCTCTGGATTATCCCCCCATCATTTTTTTTTTTATTAGTCAACGGGTTCCAAGGGACTCATTGGCAGGAGGACCTCATCCAGCATCTTGATGGCTTCCACATTGGCTGCCTGGGTTTTCTTGGCCAGATACTCAGCCTTGTGATAAAATCCCTGCTCTGGGTGCTATGGCCGAGGAAGTTCCCAGCAAGGATGACCTGGGAGACGTGGGTGGCACTACCTGCTCACCCTCATCCCCCAGCTGCCCCATCACCATGTCCACCAGTGGCTAGGTGCCTTGCAGGCTCTCGCCTCTGCCTTCACCCAGGCCCAGACCAGACATCAGCAGCACAAACCTGTCCAGGTCAAGTGGTGGTGCAGGCATCTGATGAGCAAACCCTGGGAAGCAATGGTCTTCCACTAAGAACTTGCCATCATCTCTCATGGAGCCCAGCACAGTCAGCAACATCCCTGTGGCCAGGCTGAACATATCAATGGTAACTTCCAGTTTGATCCACTGTAATTCTTCTTCCAAGACCAGCTCATCGTCTGTGTGGATGTACTTGCTCCAAGGAGGTGTGGGGAGCAGACTGTGCTCCTTGCTGACCTCTTGCAGGTTAGAGGGCCAGAGCTCCATGGCCTTGAGGAGGGTTCCCACCACACAGCACCTCTCCCTGGGCTGCAGCTCACACCGCTTCTTTATTTGGACTTCACTGCTGAGCGCAGCAGCCCAGGGGCCCTGCCTCTGCCAGGAGGGAGGGACCACTGAGGGCAAGGACCACTTAGACCTAAAGAATCACTTGGCTCCAGGAGGACAAAGGGATTCAGGATGTGGATGGGCTCTGGATGGGTCATTTTAAGAAGGTAGACCTGCAGAGAAGGCAATGTGAAGTCAGGGCAGAGACTGCAACGATGTGGCCACAAGCTTGGAGCACCAGCAGTCACCAGGAGCTGGAAGAGGTGGGAAGAACCATCCCCTGGAGCCTCCAGAGGGAGCATAGGCCTGCTGACACATTCATGTCAGACTTCTGGCCTCTAGGACTCAGCTCCAGGGGACTGGCGCGGGGCCTGCTGCATGGAGATGCTCGCTGCATTGAAGGTGAGGAAGAACATTTCCCCACTGCTGCTGGGCCCGATTCACCAGGAAAGGCCTCATTTGGATGAGGTGGGTGGTATAATGTGGGCATACTG